GAGAACAACCAGCCTGAGCCAGACCTCCTAAATCTTCTCTTGCAGCGCCCTGGGGGTGAGCTGGCCGCTTCTTACAATGAAAGAAAGCGGGAGGCCTCTGCGAGCCCAAGAGTGGCTGGTGGATGAATCAAAGCTTTGCATGAGGCCTTTTGCAAAGGCTTTGCTCAAGGGTGGCAGACATGGGAACAGCCTGGGAAGCTTCCTGGGATGGCCCTGTTTTCAGGGTGCTCAGGAGTTTGGGGTTTCTTGTTATGAGTAACGGGACCTGGGTGTGAGTACGTCTGAGCAGAGTCCACGGCTCACTGCATCTGTCTACATCACAGCAGGACTTCGGACCCTCTAGGCAAGTGTATGCAAACCCTTTTTTATTCTCATGCCCCTAAGGATCCGTTTTAGACAGTTACCCCAAATCATATCCCATCTAGAAAGTTTAATACCATAGATGACTGTCCACTTATTGTTTGTATATCTATGTTTATTTTTGTTTGTCTTTTAACTTTTTTATGTTGGAGAATAGCTGATTAACAATGTTATGATGGTTTTGGGTGAACAGGAAAGGGACCCAACCAAATATATACATGTAGCCATTCTCCCACAAACTCCCCTCTCATCAAGACTGCCAGAGAGTATTGAGCAGAATTCCCTGTTGCTTGTCTGTCTGTGTTTATATATAGAAAGAGTAAGATTTTTTCAGCCCCCAAGAAGGCAATTTTTGTCTCCTTGGCAGTGATCCTGCCCCGCTGAGATCAAAACCTCCTCACTTATTACAGGACCAGAGAGAGTAGCTCCTGTGACTCTCTGACCTGCCCACTTTGGCATCTTGAAAGAACTTGCCTGGTGGTCACCCAGTGTTGCAGAAGACCTTGTGCTTCCCAAGGTCGCCTTCCCACACTCCCAAAGTAGCTGGACCTGATGGCCCCAAAGGGTGATGATGTCTCACGGAAAGGAGGTGCGCGCCTCTCCCCTTTCCATCCCTCTGTGTCCCCTGGCCGGTGGCTGCATGGCCACCTTAAATCCCAGAGAGATCCCATGAAAGCATCCTTCAGGGAATCCCCTGGTAGTCCAGTGATTAAGACTTTGTGCTCGCAATGCAGGGGGCATCCGTTCAATCCCACATGCCAGTTGGTGCAGCCAAAAAAATTTCTTCAACCAAGTGAACCCAGGTTGAGCAAAGACACCACCAAACATGTGTCTGCCCTCAAGGCTCCCAGACACACTGTGATGAGCCCTCTCACTGACTCATCAGTAAAAGCAGCAATGCAGCAGCAGCCGCAGCCAAATCCCAGCTGGGCTCAGCTGGTCTGCACAGTCAGACCTTACGGTTCTGACAGCGTTCCATCTTACAGGTGAGAAATCTGGGACCAGATAGGTTCTCCTAGAAGCAAGGTCATGGAGTGACAATTGCAAGGCCTCCTTTCCTTGTCCTGCACCAGATGAGCAGGGAGCCTCCCCTAAGAGCCTCCACCCAGGAGAACTGGGGAACTGGTCACGCGTCCCGGGTCTCTCTGGAGCCTCACCAGCCACGATTTGGTTTGCTGCCTGTCCATACCCTGGCATTTAGAAATACCTGGGCTTCGCTGATGGCTCTGCAGTAAAGAACCCACCTGCCAGTGTAGAAAACGCAGGAGATTCGGGTCAGATCTCTGGGTGGGGACAATCCCCTAGAGAAGGAAATGGCACCCTGCTCCAGTATGCTTGCTTGGGAAGTCCCATGGGTGGAGGTACCTGGTGGGCTACAGTCCATGGCATTGCAAAAGAGGTGGACACAACTTAGCGATTAAACAAGAACAGCAACAATTTAGAGATGTTTATAGCTAATTGATGTGAGTTTTGTGCCTACTATCTCTAATTCTAAAGCATTCTCCTCCTGGATACTGGCTGTTTTGGCTTTCATTACTTTAATGATTCATTTTTAATTGTATTTTATGAAAGCATAGATCTGTGATGGATTGGAAATTAGTTTCAAAACACTAGTCCTTCACCATCGATAGTTGGAGAGGCACAGTGCAGAAGCTGTGTGCTTCCCACCTCCCACACACAGTGTGGAAGTTCTTTGACCTCAGCGTTAAAGAAAAATTAATACATGGTTGACTGGCTGAGCTAACAATGGACGGAGCTCAAAGGTCTTTCTTTCAGCCCTGGGCAGATACAACCTTAGCAACATAAAGCTTGACTCCTGGGTGCTTCTCCATCCACCGAGCTCTGTCCCAGGGGAATGGCTCCATAGCCCATGGGATGTGCAGTGAATGGCTGCACGAACCTTCACTGGGGGCTCTTCTGATCAGAGATTTGGTGGAGCAGTTGTGATCTTGTGTTCTAAGTCACTTCAGTCGTGTTCGACACTTTGCAACCCCACGGACTGTAGCCCACCAGGCTCCTCTGTCCATGGGATTCTCCAGACAATACTGGAGTGGGGTTCCATTTCCTTCTCCAGTTGGGATCTTAAAAATCATTTAGCCTCTCCTCTCATCGTACCAATGGGGGATCCAGACCGTAAATGGAGCTGACATTTGTTTTCCTATTTCCACTGTCTGGAAGGGTACCTGTCACAGAATACACTGAGAGCCAGAGTCGGGGTCTGACCTGGGGTCCGAGTTCCTGCACCAGTAGCCTGGTTCTGCTGTCGGTGTAAAGCGTCCTCCCTGCATCTCAGCAGGGCCAATTCAGGAGGGAAGATGGACACGGAGTGGGGAGGATGAGGGACAGACCGGAAGAGCTCTCACCACCTGCGATCTTCATGTTGTGGTGCCCTGGGGACCAGCTGGGGCCCCACACCCCAGAGGCGCACACACCCGGCCCAGGGTGGAGGGGCTGTGGTCTCAGGGGCCGCCCCACCACTAACAAGTGTGCCTGAGCCGCCCTGCCTCTGTCCTCCCTGCTCCATCCTCAGAGCACAAAAGGGCTGCACTTCCCCTGCACCCTCAAGTCCTGCACACCTGTCTCTCCTGGCTGCCCCACAGGGAGGGGAATTCCAGGAAAGGTTCGCCTTAGCTAAGGTGTCACGCTCCAAAGTCCCACCACACCTAGAAATGCTGAATGAAAGAAAGAAGTGACTTGTTCACATAGCACATAGCACATAGCTAGGGGCACATAGCAGGCAACTGAAATGCAGGAATGTGTTCTAGCAGAGGGCAGTGCTCTCCTCTCTACCACACTCACTTCTGAAGGGGGCCCAGGCTGCCCAGCCCAGCACTGGGGCCAGAGGCTGACATGACTGAGAGACTAACCCACCCACAAGGTGGGGGGGTGGGCAGTCTGTCCAGGAGAAGAGCAGGGACCAGGAAGACCGAAGGTCACGCATGGCTCTGCTGGGGGAACACGGAGCGCTTCCCCGGGCTGCAGGGCAGGATGACAGGAAGAGAGGAATGAGCCAGAAAAGTGAGGTAGGCGCCAGACCACAGGGGATCTTCCACGCTGACTTCAGAACCCTGGCAGGAAGATGAAAATGCCTGGACATAAGTAGTACCTTGGGGGCTGGGGAGGAAATACACTTCAGAGATAATTAGAGGTGGAGCTGGGTGGACATGGGATCACTTTGAGGGCGTAAGAAGGTGCAGATTTGCATGTGGGGGCTCATAAAAGTGGCCTCTAGGGAGGATGCCTCCCCCGAGCCACACCCAGCATCAGGAGCTAGGGTGGGAGGTGAGGAGAGGCAGGCTGGCTGCCTCCTTTGCCTTGGGATGAATCTCTCCTACTAGCATGTCCTCCCTTAACATTGCCAGTTCAGACAGGACTCGCAGGTGACTCGAGCTGGTGGGTGACTCCTCTCGGCAGCCAGCATGGGTACTGGGCTGACCCCAGCTCACATTGCCTAATTGCCTCTTCGGCTCGGGCCCCTCGAGGCAGCGCAAGCGGTGCCTTCACCAGGAAGCATCATATGTCTCTAAAGCAGAATCAGAGGTTAGGAGAGAACTTAGAGACGGTCCATTCCTTTATAAGAAAGGAGAGAGCCAGGAGGCGCATTGAGGCCAATGAACCTGGGCCTGTTCTGCCCCCACTGGTGTCGTATCTCCCTTATAGAACCTCACTTGTCTGCTCGTCCCCTGCTTCGCGTGGCCTTCAGACAGAGGTGGCCAAGGACAGCACGTGGTGCTGCCAGGGCTGGGTGTCGACTGTTCTGCCCGTAGTTCTAGTCCCCGGTCGGGAAAGAAGACTCCTCGAAACAATGCAACTTGCAATAGGGGAATTTATTACTGACTTGAGCCAGGGCCTCCCGCCCTCACCAAGAGTGTGAGGACGAAAAGGCCCCGAGCCCCAGTTCTCTCGGGTATTTATTAGGTCAAAAAAAGCAGCAGGTAGTTGGCGCAAGCGGATTGGTTACACAGCGGGTAGTTGGCACAAGCGGATTGGTTACACAGCGGGTAGTTGGCGCAAGCGGATTGGTTACACAGTTGCAAGGCAATTTTTGTTGGCCCAACGTGGGGCTTTCAGCTTTCCCCTGATAGGTTCCCTTTTTTCTTGCTAGGCATATGTTGACTGGCTAGCTCCAGGAGGCCTGATAATTATGTTACCCCGGGAAACTAGGCCCACTCCTAATCTAGGCTGCCTGTCATGGCGTTAGCCATGACAGCCTCACATTTCCCCCCTGTCTTTGTACTTTTGTAGAGGAATCTTTCTCTTTACCCTGTGAAATTGACTGATATTGTTTTCTCAATACCATAATTTGGATGGTATTTAGGCGCTCCTTAATAAATGAGACCAGACGGTTTAAAATGCATGGACCAAAGGTCAGTGACAATATTAATATTATGAGTGGACCCAGGAGGGTGGAAATCAAAGTGGTCAACCAGGGGGAGTGCTGAAACCAAGATTCAGACCAGCCTTGTTGGGCTTCTCGTTTTCTCTTCCGCTGGGCTAGTCCTCTCTTACTTTCTGGAGAGATTTTTGTACCACCCCTGAATGGTCAATATAGAAACAGCATTCTTCTCCCAGTGTTGCACATAATCCTCCTTGTTGCAGAAACAACAAATCTAAACCTCTCCTGTTCGGTAACACTACTTTCAGCCAAGGAGCTCAGGGATTCTTGGAGGTGTGAAATGGACTTCTCGAGTTTTCGCAACCCCAAGCGGCGCAATAAAAAGAGTCAACTCTCCCACATTTTTCAATTTGGTTCCGATCCCTTCTTCCCCCCGGGCATAGACAGGCACCTGTTCGTAGTACTGTGGGCCTTTTCGCTCACAGTTACGGGTGAACAGACCGAAAGAGCCGTGGGCAAAGAACTTGGTCAGTTGGTGGGGACCAAACCCATTACCGTCAGCCGCCAGCACGCACAAATCAAAGGTCAGTACTGGCCACCATGTCTCTTTGGGGGCCATGCTGGAGCTCGAATTAAGCACTTCTCCAGTCTCAGGATTGTAGATCACCCAAGTCAGGTTAGCCGGCTGATGGGGGTTGTGGCTGGTTGCTCCTGGGCCCATGAAAACTGTATCAGCAGGAGAGTTAAGAGGGCTCCCGTCTTATGAGTTTCAATTTTAAAGGATTTGATGGGTGAGGTCTTGCCTCCCATTCTGCTTGCACCTTCTCCTGTTCTTCCGGGGTGGCTTGACGCGTGGTAAGGAGAACAACATAAGGGCCTTTCCATCTAGGTTCTAATGCTTTAGATTGGTGTTGTTTTACCCAAACCCAATCACCCAGGCCAATATTATGTGAGGGGATGGTCCCCTTGCTTGTTCCCTCGTGTATCTCTTGAATTAATTTTCAAACATGGCTATGCACCTTACTTAATGCCATCAGTGTTTGCTGGAATTGTCCCAAGGTAGGGGGTGGTAGGCATTTTCCCTTGAATATAGGACACACAGGAGGGGATCTTCCATACAGAATCTCAAAAGGGGTAAGATTCAGCTTATAAGGGGTGTTACGCGCTCGAAAGAGCGAGAAGGGAAGGAGGGTCACCCAGTCTCCGACAGTCTCTATTGCCAACTTTGTCAAAGTTTTTTTAGGGTCCGATTTATTCTTTCAACCTGTCCTGAGCTCTGGGGATTATATTCACAATGTAACTTCCATTTTGTCCCCAGATCTTGGGCCAGCCCTTGCACAATCTGGCTCATAAAGGCAGGTCGTTATCAGAGCCCATAGTCACTGGCAGCCCGTACCTAGGCACTATCTCTTCTAAGATCTTTTTAGCAACCAGTGTTGCTGTCTCTCCCTTAGTGGGGAAGGCTTCTACCCACCCCGAGAAGGTATCTACCAGAATCAACAGATAGCGATACCCATACTTGCCTGGCCTTACCTCAGTGAAATCTATCTCCCAGTATTTCCCTGGCTTTTCCCCTCGGTACCTCGTTCCCGTGTGCTGCTTCTTCCCTGTCCTCATCAGCTGGCATGCTTTGCAAGCCTGAATTATCTCTCGTACAGTTGCATTTTGTCGAGGGAACCTCAGGCAGGCCGTCTGGAGAAGTGTCAAGGTCTTTTTTTCCCCCCAAGTGTGTAGTTGTGTGCAGGTGTTCACACAGGTGACGACCCAGGATGGCAGGCAATATCAGGTTGTTGTTTTGATCTCAGTACCATCTATCTTTGTCATCCTTCTGGAGGGTGGTATCCTCGTTGATCCAAACGAGGTCAGGGAGGGAATAGTTGGGAACTGGCGGCAGAGTCCCCATACCAGGAGGTGGAAGTCCCACGGCTAATATGGGGGCGGCATAGTCCCGGCTAGCCGCTTCTCGAGCAGCCGCATCAGCAGCCCGATTGCCCCGTGCCCTAGGGTCTTCTTCTTTCTGGTGACCGGGGACATGTACAATTGTTACTGCCCAGGGCAGTTGAATAGCTTTCAGGAGCCTGCGGATCTCGGGCAAATTCTTGACTTTTTTTCCCTCCGCTGTTCTAAATCTCCTTTCCTGGTATATCGGACCTTGAATATGGACAGTGCTAAAAGCATATTGGTTGTCCGTTAAAATGGTGACTCTCTTTCCTTTTGCTTGTTCCAGCGCCTGTATTAGGGCAATCAACTCTGCTTTTTGTGCAGACGTGTTTGGGGGAAGTGTCTCAGCCCATATTGTCTGTCCTGAATCATCAACTATAGCGGCTCCCGCCTTTTTTTGTCTATCTTTTACATAGCTGCTCCCATCAGTGAGGGGAGTTTTTGAACCCTTCTGGGAGGCGGGTCCAAGTTAGTTGTACTACCGGTTGGCCTTCTCCCTCAGTCCACTCAAAGGCAAATATCTCCTGGCTCTGGACGGCCAGGGGTAGGCTGAAAAAAAGCATCTTTCAAGTCCAACACAGTGTACCAAGTGTACTCAGGCAGCAGACTGCTCAGGAGGGTATACGGGTTAGGGACAGTGGGGTGTATGTCACTCACCCGCTTGTTGACTTCTCGTAGGTCCTGAACAGGACTGTAATCCGTACTCCCTGGCTTCTTCACTGGTAGTAAGGGGGTGTTCCAAGGGGATTGGCACCGCTTGAGAATTCCGGCATCCATGAGCCATCGAATGTGGGGAGTGATCCCCCGCCGAGCCTCCTGGCTCATAGGGTACTGCCTCACCCTCACAGGAGTCGCCTCGGCTTTTAGTTCGATGACGACCGGATGTCTCTGTTTAGCCAGTCCCATTCCTGCTGTTTCTGCCCAGGCCAACGGGTATTTGTGGACCCACGGTTGTACATCTGGTGCTATAACCTCTGAGGGCTTAGGCACAAAAAGTCTGTATTCATCTCTTAAAGCTAGAGACAAGACATGTATCGGCTGTCCAAGTCTATCCGTGACTGACATTTCCCCAGGGTCAAAATGGATCTGAGCATTAACTTTAGTCAACAAGTCCCGTCCAAGTAGAGGGGCTGGGCATTCTGGTATCACTGAAAACGAATGGGACACCTGATGGGTCCCCAGATTTACTTTCCGTTCCATGGTCCAACAATATCTTTTTGTCCCTGTGGCTCCCTGCACCAAGCTGGTTTTCTTAGACATGGTCCGAGTTTTTTATTTAAAACAGAGTGTTGGGCACCAGTGTCTACCATGAAGCCGACGGGTTTCCCCTCCACATGTATGGTTACTCAGGACTCGGGGAGGGGTGCCAAGTCTTGACTCCTCTAGTCACTGTCTTCCCCTGCACTGTTCCCTCCCCTGGAACTCGAGTTCCAGGGGAGATTCTCTCTCTCTCTGGGTTGTTCCTCTCTTCGGGTCCCTCTTAGGGCACTCGTTTTTCTAGTGCCCCCGTTCTTTGCAGTGAGCGCACGGATCTTTCTTTAGGGCCTGTCTTTTTGGTCTCTCTTTTTCTCCCGACGAAGTCGTTCCTCCCTTTGTTCTGGGGTCTCCCTATTATTAAATACCTTTTCAGCTGCTTTCAGTAAGTCTTGTATTGTCTGTTCTCCCAATCCCTCTATCTTCTGTAATTTTCTCCTAATATCTGGGGCTACCTGATTCACAAATGCTAACAGAACTGCAGCACGTGACTCCTCAGCCTGGGGGTCCATAGGTGTATATTGCCTAAAGGCTTCCATCAGCCTCTCTAGGAAGGCTGCCGGGCTCTCAGTGGGCTCTTGTCTTACTAAATTTACCCTCACCAAATTTGTCGGCTTCCTAGCTGCGGCCCGCAGGCCAGCCATTAGTCTGGCGGTACACTCGGAGACGCTCCCTACCTTCCACTCGCTCAAAATCCCAGTTAGGCCGCAACAGAGGAAACCCCTCATCCAGGAGATGAGGCTGGGCGGTTGGTCTCCCGTCGACCCCCGGGACCCATTTCCGCACCTCTGCCAGGATTTGCTCCCATTCTTCCATGGTGAAGAGCACCTGCAACAGCTGCTGGCAATCATCCCAGGTGGGGTTATGAGTGAACAAAATGGAATCTAAGAGCTCAATGAGGCCTTGGGGTTTCTCCGAAAAAGGAGGATTTGGGGTTTTCCAATTATACTGATCACTCATGGAAAAGGGCCAGTACTGATATGTTCGCTCTCCGTCCTGGTTAGCTGGTCCCACTCGGACGGGGAGTGCCTGTACAGTAAATGAAGGTAACTCTGGGTCCCCATGATCCTGCTCACCCCTATTTCCTCTATTCCTTCTCCGGGGTCGGGGTTCCCTTGTCCCTTCTGATTCATGGGGGGGGGGGTCTTCCCCCCGGGGGAACTTGCAACGGAGGAGGGGCATATGGCGGGGGCCTAATTTCCGTCTCCAAGTCAATCAGGTTCCGGTAGGAGGATTCCTGCAAGACCGGTTTTGGGCCCTTATTCTTCTTGGCTTCCTCTGGGTGAGTGGGGGTTTCCATAACCAGGGCCTGTACATTAGGAGAATCAGGGAGTTTGTGAACAAAAGGTTTTAACCATTCGGGCGGATCTTCTACTAGATCTTGCCAGACCATAACATATGGGACTTGGCTCGGGTGGCCCCAGGGATCAGGAGCCATAACTTTTTCTTTCACCGCCCGAATAATAGAAGGTTGAAAAGTTCTCTCTGGAGGCCATCCAACTTGGAAGGTGGGCCACTCTGCAGAGCAAAAGGTTATTAATTTACTCTTTTTAACCAGTAGCGACAGATCATACGCTCTAGCCCTGACATCCGAGAAATGATCAGTCATGAGAAAGAGTGGGGTAGATTCTCCTTGCCCCATAGCGAGAGTCAGAAGAAAGTCACTGAGAATTACCACCCAAAAAAATCCTATCGGGAGTGGTGGCGGCCAGGAGGTTGGGCTTGTGGTATGCTTTGTGGAACTATTTGAGTGCCTTAGTCGTTGCACGGAAGTTTTCTTGTTGGGGGCGGGCACCCTAAGGATTTCTAGCCCGTTCCGTGACCCCCTTATCCTTTCACAGGAGTCTTCCAGTGGCAGGCGCCCTATCGGCTCTTAAGTGCCTGTCCCGTGCCCACACAGACGGGTTCTTATTTGGCCAGATTCTCGGTTTAGAATACGAGAAAAAAGAAAAGAGTTTCACCCTCTCGGGCTCCCGTTACTGGGGCTGACTTGTTGGGAGGCCTTCAGAATCCGCCAGGGAGTATCCCTGGCCGGGACTCGTCAGTTGCCCCGACAACTGTCTGCCCGTTCACTGAAACTCTCAGAAACAGAAATGAGACTCCAAGGCTTTATAGGAGGAAGTAGACAACGACACACCAGAGAACAACGAGACAGGAGACAATGTCGGCAGTTATACAGACACGAAAGGGCATAGAGAAACACATAGACAGACACACATCGGCCGACAACACAGAACTGGGGGGCGGGACCCCCTGAGTTTCCCTATCCTCTGGAACAAGGGTCACCTTACCAAATGGCGTCCACTGTTCCCCAGATCCGGGCTTAGGAGAGGAGGTCTCCTTCCCGCAGAGCTGGCTGCCTTCCAGCGTGCTCGCTGGCCTCGGCCTCATGCCAGCTGGAACGGCCAATCCGTTCTCTCATGGAAAGCTTTCCCTCACGCCAGACACCTTCCTGCCTTTAGGCATGGCCCCAGATTTACACTGGGCTTCCTGCGCCAGATACCTTCCTGCTTCACAGCAGGGCCC